TTTGACAAAGTGAAAGAATATAAATAATAGTCTTTACCACCTGTGTAAACTTTGCCGGTAAATGTTTTAACGGTTATATAAAATTCAAAAGAATATTGGTCAAATGAGAAGAACAGAAAGAATCAGGAGAGAAGAGATAATTATTTCACGGTTTAGAATTGGACATACTGGACTAAATAGGTCATTATTTCTGATAGGGAAACATCAGACAGGGAAATGTGAATGCGGGGAAAAAAAGACAGTGGAACATGTTATTTTGAGTTGTAGGAATTATTTGATGCAAAGAAGTAAGTTAATTAGAAATCTTAGTAGCATAAAAATGAAATTTGATATTGTTGATTTATTACAAAAAGATTGAGGAAGTAGAGGATATGAGGCCTTATTTATTTTTTTAAAACAGTGTAAGTTGTTTAATAGGATATAGTTTTGTTTTTGGGTTTTTTTGTCATGTGGTCCACACTCCTTACCAGTTGGTGGCGGTAATGATTACCTAACGTTTCTTGCCAACCGGCAATAAAATTCAACTAGAAGAAGAAGAAGGTGTGAGTAATTTGGCACAGGAGCTGGCTGAGGGCTGGGGAGAAGGTGGTACAGGGAAACTAAGATCTGCTGGGAACACAAACGGGAGGAAACAGGGAACTGAAAAATACTTCTAATACAAAAGACACTAAGAGTAAAGAAAACCTGGTGAACTAGGAGAGAAAGATATAACTGAACCTAAATAGAAAGTAACAATAAGAACTAACAATCTAACAATAAGAACTAAGGAACACAGAGCAAGATAAACTAGAAGATCTAAACAAAGAAATAACCCAACTAGAATTACTAAAGAAAGATACAGACTCAGACATGGAAGAATAACTGAACCTATGGTGATCAAATTAAGAAATAAACATTACTAGAAACCCTGCGGGGAGGCTGAAATAAGAACTAGAGGGATAAAATAGAATTAAACTATAGTCATTAAAGAGGGCTTGACATGGACTCAGACAAAGAAAAAGCAATAATATAATTCTAACTACACTAAATACCTCTAATAATGTCAAAAGGACCATTAAGGGCTAAACTAGTAAATTAAAACATGAAGCTAAATAAAATGACAAGCAAAATAAACCCAAAAACCCAGTGTCCTGACAGATGTCTGATTATATAATTGTTTACTTTAATCAAATAAAATATTTATTTAAAAATATAATCTTTCATTACGTGTACATTTATTACCTGAAATATTTAAATATCAAATTTTTACTTAAAATGTGATTCATTACTTCACCTGTTTACATGCAACTTGAAGTGCTTGAATCAAACGATTCATGAATGTTTAATGCATTAAATTATTAAATGAGAGAAAACAGCCACTTCCAACTGTACACATATTTCAACACAAATGGTTCCTGTTCTTCTTCAGAGTCTGCAGCCTTGCTGAGCTCCTCTCCTGGGGTTTCCTCCTCAGCCTCTCCAACTTGCTCCTCTTCTGTTGCCTCCGCTGTTCTGTTTTCATTATTTACCTCTTCTGGGGTAAATAATGAAAACAGTCTCTGTAACTTGTTGATCCACCATGGTTTTGCTGTATCGCCTCTTTAATTGACGCGCATGTCGGTCCAACGTTGTGGCGTTTACCTCGCAGTGACCCATATTCAGTACTGGAACCCAGTCAGGATTGAGCTCATCCATTTCATACGTCGGTTTGCCTTTAAGAGGACATATCAGAACACACATTAATATTTACAGTACTGTAAATCTGATTACACAAAAAATCTTAAATAGTTTACTTCACAATAATGTAAGAACCTCGATGTCCACTGACAAAACTCGGACTACGTCACATAAACAATATAAGCCCGACCTAAACAAGGTTGACCCACTTAAATGAACTCAACAGAAACTGATCATGAGTACACTCGGACAAAACCATAGCAAAAAATTATGACACAGCACTAACAAAGCGAATTTAGACACTCACCAGAATAGAAATGTTTAGAGGGAACTTGTAGGTATCTGGGGATGTTGGAGAAGGTAATATCAGGACGTCTCGCCGCTGATACCAGGACATTCGTCTTCTGTTCGTTAGCTCCACACGTTGTTTCCAAGCAGGAAAATAATGAAAAGAAAGTCCGTTTTCCATCTTTTTACCGTTTCAGTCGTGTGATCGGACATTACATTCAATAACGCAGCAAGTTCTACCATAGCTAAATTATTTTTAAGTAACTTGGATTAAAAAAATCTGCGAGACTGTTGTTTTTGTCGGTTATGTTTAACAGATAGAGGACCCCAAAGATGGCGCTGGTGTCCCTCCGTCTACAGCAGTGACGTCACGTTCCAAAGCTCTA